AAAAACTAATAAAAACGCAAGTGGCTCTTGTAAAATAAAAAAAAATTTCTTAATTCAGACATCTTCTTCTGTGTCAATTAATAATTAATTTATCGCTCCTCAACTGTTTTCTATTGTTTTTATACAACGCACAGACGTTTTACTTAAAAAACATCTTTTTTTTTGGAATACCGTGGGATTACTTTATGTTTAATTTTACTGCAATTTTTCTATTCTTATAATTCTATATGTATGTATGCATATGAAAATAAAGAAACCGAAATTTGATTTATAAAAATATCTTTAAAATTTTCTTCCATGCAGAGGCCAGGCATGGCTATGTTCTGGTTAAAAGTTCTTAATATAAATGTGTTAACTAAAAAAAGGGTATGATCGGAAAAACAAAAAAAAAATCAAAAATTGATCGAAAAAATAAAAACCCAAAAATAACGGTTATTTTTGATCAAAGACACAAAAATAATAAAATTACGGTTAAATTCAGTCGTTAAAATAGAAATCCAGTTTAAGCGGGTAAATTTTGACGGTCCCTAGTTTCAACTATGATTAGGAATATATGGAACTTTTTTGTTTTTAGGGAGCTTTCCAGATAATTTCAGAATTTTTTAAATGTTTTAAAGTTTTATTTGGCAATTTTCGCGATTTTTCAGGTACTTGTAGACGTAAAAATATATACATTTAAAATAAAACTGTGCTCTTAAATGTCTTAAAAGTACAAAGTATACCTTACCGGTCATATTCCGCTCATAAAATAAAAAAAAAGAGTCGGGCTTTTCTTTCTCAAGCCACAAAATCGAAGGCTTTGCTTTTTGCTTTAAAATGCTTACTCGAATTGGTCTCCAGCTACTAAAGGCTTTGAACAAATTATTAATGCACTACTAATTTGTTAAGTAAATCACTTTCGGTTTTTACTTAAATAACTACATACATATTTACAAATCTAAAAAGGTAAGGACTGAGCAAGATTAAGTGGAGAATCAGTATTAATTTTGAGACTAGGGAAATGTGACATTCTTGAAAAAATACTTTTAAATATACATACATAAGTACATATACATAAATATGTATGTAGGTATGTACGGATTGTAAACATAAGTAAGTATATTTACTAGATATTCGCCAGATACAAAACGAAATAAATTTATTAGCATATTCATACATCGTTTTTTCGAACAAAAATTAGCACTTAGAGCATCTACAAAAGGTTACCTCGAACATTTGCGTGCTTTTCTTGTTGCTATAGTTGAGTAAGTGGAGAAGTAAACTAAATACTATAATAAAGTGCAAAAACTTGGGTAATGCATATATGAATGTACGCAAATAAACTGCAGCAGTAAAACGAATGGATTTTACGCAGAAATTGAGAAATACGTACGAGTACGTATACAAATACTTGTATATTAATATTCTAATATGTACATGATGATGTCTAGTCATAATCGGCAATTAGTAAATTATTATTATTCTTTTTTTTAATGGAGTTTTTTGTACATACATACATAGACATAAAATTGCTAATATGTACTTGTAAATATGAAGTCATGAGAAGCTCGTAGTACATAGTTTAAAAACGCTATACTATGTAGAGTATCTAATCAAAAGATGTATTTGAACATAATATTGAGGAGTATTCTTGCTTTCGTACGAATAGAAAATCATGAAATTTTCCTATCATTTCCTATATAAAAACTTAAAATTTTCAATTTGTACGAAAACAAGAATACGCCACATTATTTTACAGAAAGAGTAAAGCACAAAAATATATAAAAAAAAATCCAATCCGCAAAAATCGCAGTTTTGACTGGCACGCACACTTCTGTAGTAGAGAGATATTTTTTCGGCCACTGCGGCAGGAGTAATCCGTGAGGATATTGACTCGCACCGCATGGGTCCCTAAAGGACAACGTCCGGTCAGTACGCCTGTAAGAATCGAAGGCTGTAGAAGCTCACTTGACCTCCTGCGGTCAACAACCGGCCAGAATTACTTCGCAACTTTGCATGTAGGGTGAACCCATCTGCCCAGGAGCGGGCCACAGGCTGCCAACGGAACTCCTACGCCCTCCCTGTCCGAGGTGATGGGCTCGAGGGTACGCTGCCTAGCCAATTCATAAGCCCTACAATTTTTCCAGTGATGTTACTCTGCCCTGGGATCCAAATCAGCTTCCGACCAGTTTCGATCGTACCATTGGCGATCCCAGCGCTCTGATTGCCGCCTGACTATCAGAGTAGATATTTAACCTCCTAGTCGACAACAAATTTTCGCCTAACCAACCGGCTGCCTCTTTTATAGCGATCACCTCCGACTGAAAGACGCTGCAGAAATCCGGCAGCCTGAACATAAGATCGACTAGGACTCCTCCAACTCTCCCGCCCCGCTCTGAGGGAAGTGCGTGGAGAAGGATCCTCTTGGGGCCAACCTCGGAACAACCCGCTTAATTTATTCTGGCAGGAAGTCGAAGCTTTCGAAGGCCACTACTATGCCTGCAATGTCGACAGGTGCGACTCACCGACGATTTATTTACCCGCTCCTCAATGTTTGGCTTCCACGATAATTTCTTTTCTTGGATAAAACCCAAGGACTTAACCCTGTCAGAGAGAACAAGTGAAGCACCTCTTTTTGAGAGAAGCTGGGAATGAGGCACTTTGTACCTCCCAAGCTCTGTCTTTCCAGAAATGATAGTAACTCCGCAGCTAGTAGACCAATTTGTTACCAAGTTTAGATACCCTTGCACAGGCTCATACAGAGTGTCAAAGAACTTTACTCTGACGATGAGTGCCGCGTAATCCGCATAGGCTACAACCTGGAATCGTCTCCTATCCAATTCCTCCAGGACGTCGTTTATCACGACTATCCAGAGAAAGGGTGAAAGGACGCCTCCTCGCACTTACTGCAAAGGTTTTGTTTTTAAGTGACTCCAATATGACTTTGACAATTGTGTGCAGGGCAGATTCCACGGCATGTTGAGAGAGGCTCAATTGCTTTCGAGGTATCACTCCCCTCGACACTCTGAGTTACGAGAGCTTTCGACGGCGCTCTTAAAGGCTGACTATATAAGTTTATCTCGAGGTTGTTTTTTTGTGGATTATTTTGCTCCAGAAAAAATAAATCTTGTCGGTAAGAAAAATTTGAAAGCTGTATTTATTGTCGTAATAACGACGACCTAGCACGGGGGCTTTCGCCGGGAAGGAAGAAGTCCAAAAATTGGAAGAAATGAAGTCTGCCATGGAGAGAATTTTCAATTATATGGGAGATTTCATTTCATAACATAATAAAAAAGTGAACGTCTTCTCAAAATTGGTAACCGGCACTAAAACTTCGTGTTTTTCTAATTTGGTTAACCGTTAAACCGTTAAAAGAACTGATTCCATTTTCGGAATTACCGTAAAGTAGTCCTTGTAGAAATAAAGTTTCAGCAAATTACGACCACTTGTATTTTTCTACATTTATCCGTGATTGATAGTAGCAGCGCTGTGGTAATTCAAATTGAGAGATAGAATATTTTGTTATTTTTATTAAAATATTTTCCTCAACAACATGGTATCTTTTTCCCCTGTGCGGTTTTTTTCCCAGATAAATTCTACAATTGACTGGCCTATGGTAATCAGATGAATTTATGGAAGCGAAGACACTTAATCCGTCAGGCATTTCTCCAGTAGTTTTTTTTTTATAATCGCGCTATGGAATTCGCACCTGCTTAATCCATGTCAGGAAAATTTATATTTATATGAACATATATACAGTAATGTGAAAAATAATGGCACAAGATATTTTTGACAGTTTTAGCTATTTTTCTTTTGTTTGTTTAATGATCATTTTTTTTTATAAATATACAGCGCATTATCTAACAAAAACCATATATTTTATAAGTTAAAATTTCAATTTGAGAATACCTAAAAAAAATCAACATAATGTTACAACAACAACAAATTTTTATTAGAATTTTTAGAAAAAATATAGGAATGCAGTTTATAGCCCATTAAATTCTACTTAGGCAAGTGCATACAAAAAAAATTCTCGGACATACTTTGTGTGGAAGAAAATGCGTGACACTGTCAGAAAAAAAAAAAATATTAAAAACCAACGCTATTTCTTAGCTACTTGACGCTAGAATTAATGGTCTATATATAAAACTACATACTAAGGTTCTTTTTTCTAAAAATTCGTAATAAAAGGTTTATTGTTGCTGTAAAAATTTTAAAATTATTCTACAAATTTTGAAATTCGGACATAAATGTCTTTTGTTAGATACACACAAAATATCGTGTTCCTATTACTTTTCACATGACTATATGCATATGCACACACTTGGCGAAGTTTGCATACGTACAAACATACATAAGCTTGTCTTGCGGTGCTGTAACATTATATAAGCTTTCATCAAACGTGGCTAATACATACATACATACTTACCACAAATGCTGGGCTATCTATTTAATGACCTGCTTTAATTATATTCAAGTCACGTTATGATTATGGAAATAAATTGGCGCTTTTTGACAATAGATTTGCAAGTTTATTGTAGTTTTATTGTTACGCCGCTAACGGTTAAATAAAGCAAATAAAGAATTAAAAAAAAGCAATCAACAACAATTGAAATACATAAATAGTAAAAACTCAAAATTTGTATCTCCCGAGCCATACTAATGGAGTTCGCCAAAATATGCGCTGAAGTGATTTTGTATGAATAAAATATAAAAATATGTTACGAATTTTATAAATGCATACCAACGCATGAATTTAAATATTCGCATGTACAAATGTATGTGTGTTTGTTTGTGCATATGCTTAACTAAATTTTTGACGATTTTTGTTTTGATTTTGCTTTAGGTGAATAAACTTTGCGCATACTATTTCTATGCTACACCGAGTGCATGTTGTTGTAAATTCCAACATAAATTTTATGCGTACAAATAAATAAATTAACTTTAAAAATTTAACAAATATCTTTATTATTATTATTATTTTTTTTTACAAGAAATTGCATTCAACATTGCTTCTCAAATCAGTCCAAATATTGTTTCTCTTCTACATACATTATTAATGCATTACATTGCATAGATCACAGTTCTCTTCCAGGAAAAAAATTCTAATTCAAATGTAAATTAGTTGCGCTTTTTCTTGTCCGCCTCTGGATGGTAGGGATGCTCTTCTAAATACTTTAATGTCTTCAATACCGATTCGGGTACGGGTGGCGGTGTTGGCAAATGATCGCCCACTGGCTGATAGCCATTCTCATCGGCCACATACGCCACCACATATTCTTTGCCATCATCAGCGATGAATGCAAATTTACCCTCAATCGCTTCGCCATCATGTTGTGGACTGATTTGTTTTAGGACGCCGTCTTGTGAAGCTTTCGAGCCATCGCCAAGTTCGTAGCTATGGGAAATGGAAGAAAAGAAGGAGAATGAAATGAGCAAGTACTATTAGCATAAAGAATTTTATTTTTAGTGAAGAGGTTGGTTGAGAAAAACGAAAAATTGTCTTTTGATTCGTGCAGGATTTATGAGCATCGCAAAAATGTTGTTGTTAACAGCATTTAAAACATGCGGTTAACTGGCGTCTTTGCGTGCATTTCAATTTGCCAGAGCGATAAAATTATGCGCGCGATTGAACGTGAAATGTGATCTAATTTTTTGAATAAATGTGTGCTTGACTTCGTCTACAGATATGGTAGAAATTTTTATATCAAGTCGAGAATCATAATTTTTTGACCAGGTGAGAATTGGAGTTCATTGTCCTGATTAAATACTCAAAAAATTTATAATCAGCCGGGCTCCCACGTTGACGTTTTCATTTTACCATTTCTTCAGCTATTGTCTTTTAAGTGATTGCAAAACTGACGTTAATTTTTTCTTTTTTTTTTCTTTGAAAACGGTTTTGCGCATTTTCTTCCATAAGAAAAATGTGCAAAAAGACGTCAGCATAAAAAATATTAAAAATCAACACAATTTTGTACTAAAATTTAATGGGCTACAAGACTGCATAATCAGAAAAATTCTAAAAAAATAAAAAAATTGTAAATTTGTAATGTACTCATTTTACTCAAATTTGGTGTAAAAAAATTCATAACTCAAATTATTTTAGAGTGCACCCCATAATACTATACCTATATATTGCACAATACTCAGAGCTACCATTGTAATTTTTTCATTTTTTTTTAGATGGCATATTTTCAGAAACTGATTTATTTTTTCAAAATGATTGAAACATTTTTCAAGAAATTTTTTTTTTAAATATTCCTTTTAATAGAGAATTTTTATGTATCTATGTGTAATTTTTTTAAATTTTTTCCTCGCCCGGTTCTCGAGATATTTGGAAAACTGTTAAGNTTTATTATTTATGTTTATGCATCAACCCCATCCGTTTTGGTATGAAATGACCCACATACCAAAATTCTCAGAATGAAAAGATAAATCGGTGAAGCCATTACCTAAGATTTCACTAAGAAACACTTGAAAGTTTTTGAAATCGGCCAACAACCACGCACACCTTCTAATATATATAATGGTCGTTTAAAGAAACTCCGATACATCAATAAGTACTCTTAGCAGAAAATTATATTATTGTAAATTTTCGGTAAGCGATATATCAATTTCTATCCTATCAATTTTACCCTTAGCACAAAAAAGCAATGTGCTGAAAATTTTTGAAATCGGACTAAGTTCCCACATAACATACGAAAACTCCGATATTTCTATAAACAAAGACAACAATCTCTTAACAAGAAATAAGGCTACACATTTTTGAAAAATTGCCCTGGCACCGTCCATTTATGAATACATGAGAGTACATCAGCCACCGTTTTATCGATTTCCATCAAACTTCGTCCAATTACCTCAATAAGTCTGATATAGCAAATTATCGAAATTGTTTGAAATTGGGGGAAAAACCCATGCT